AGAGAGAGAGAGAGAGAGAGAGAGAGAGAGAGGGAGGGAGAGAGAAGGGGGAAAGAAGGGGGGAGGGGATAAAGTGGGTATTCATTTTATGAGAACAGAGTAATACACAAGTTGCAAGCCCTCAGTGAGATAAGGGTACAATCTAGAAAGAGACGACACTTTAATATTCCTTATCTCTTTTATTTCAGGGGATGGATAATGAAGGACGGAACTCCAATGGGCCCGTAAGTTGTTCAACGTACTTTTCCTCGAGCTTTTCTTTCCATCATTTTTCTTGTTGATAGAGGCTTCTTTTCAAGTAGTTCGGGTCAGCTGCAACCTTTTCTGAGAAGAAAAAAAGAAAACACTTGTCATTATAACAATAAATAATAGTCTTATGGTCACTTCATTGTCTTACTTTCTGTTTCATTCAAGAATATTTTTAAAAAATGACTTTGTCAAGGAAATGTACTAGATCTAAAATGAAGAGATTTTGAGTGAAAAAGTAGACTACAGTGCGGTCAAAAATTCGAGGCGCCATATTTATTGTCAAATATCTCCTAAAGTGTCAAACATAAAGTCTCCAGCTCTTGCACAATGACTTGTATCAATTTGTCATTACAGATCAATATTTTTTTGTAAACATCTGTTAGCTGTAATTGAAAAAATTCCTTATCAAATACTAATTAAAAATCCCAGAGGGAGATTTCTACAGATCTTAAACGGTTTACAGCTGGTGCAATATCCCTTTTAAAACAAGTCTGCCATTTTTTTGTCTAATTGCGACATTATGACTATCGAACGCGTGTTTTGAGAAAAATTAGTGCAAAAGAGTGTTCACTAACTATAAAATCAATTACAGCTAACACGTTCTGCCACAAAAAAATGTCTTTGATGAGCTATGACGTAAGCTAATATGCAAAATGTGTGAGAAGCGGGAAGTGCTGTAAACAATCCCATTTTCCGCGTGACGGAGATTTATATCACTTTACATAAATTTATGAAAAAAAAAATCTTATAATCCAGCTTAAATTGTTGTCAACAAATGTGATTTAAATTAAGACAAATTGATAAAAACTGCTGTGCAGAGTATGGGTGACAATAATTCACCCGTTAAAGAGATATTTGAGGATAAATTGCGCCACGATTTTTTCAATACACTATACGTTCGTGAATCCTACTGCTACTTACCATATTTTAAACTTTTTGTTTTAGATGGACTTGACTTGTTTTTGACTTGATTTGCTTTCCTTTTATAAAGCTTCAGTTTGGGAATGACATAGGTGGTTTTCCACTGGACGGATTTGTGAAAGACTTATGTGGTTTTCCACTGGACGGATTTCATAGGGGTTTTCTATAGCTATAGGTACTGTTGTAAGGTGAGAGTTAGTGCCCTGACTTATTTCTTCTAAAAATGAACGAATTCGTGTTACTTTTCACACGAGCCCCGTCAATTGATACTTGAAAGCGCTTCTTTTTTTTTTTTTACATTTTGGCAATTAACTTTTTGCTGCAAATCATTAATTAGACCTATCACTATCAGGAAGTTGTTGTAGTGCATGGCATTTTATGACATTGATATTACATTTTTAACTTTTTTTTTTTTTTTCCCGATCCCGCAGAAACCCCAGCCCCTACAACTTGTACAAGCAGCGGGGGTGAGTTCTCTCGTTGTTTTCTTCTCTCAACTCGGTAGCTTAGTCGGCTGCCTGCCCTTTATGCTTCTCGGGAAGCCGAGAATGTTTCTGAGCGTCATAGCGTCTGTGGGGGTAATGGTATAGTGTGAAGAGCATTGAGCGTGCTGTAGAGCAGGGGTATGCGCTACATAAATACTATTTATTATTGTTATTATTATTATTATCATTATCAC